ATGTTATTCACGTAAATTTTAAACATGTGTATAAAAATTCTTATAAGTATTAGTGACCTTGAGAACTAACTGATAAGAGGTATATTAAAATCACTAGAAGTACAAGTCAAGGTACAACATATATCCATTATTGAAATTATTTCTTTAAACCCGTTTCGGAAAAACACGGTACTAAAAAAAATTACATTTGACGTCGCTTTGTAGGAATAGGAACAGATGGATGGATCGGGTTATAGGAGTGAAGACACTAACAGAAGACATATTGATCTGGAAAAAGATAACCTGGTACGCTGACTCTTCGGGAGTGGATTCAAGGCTCCGATCAATGTCACGCCAGTGTTCTTAGGCATTTGTATGTTTACACAGAAAAAAAATCTTATAATGAATATCATTTATAAAATTATTATGGGTCAATTTATAGCTGAATAATTTAGGCACAATAAGGTTAAAAAATCCTGAGTTTATAATAAAGTATAAAAACGGGTTGTTATGTCTGTTTTTTTCAAAAGAAACGAGGGAATACAATGTCAAAGCAACCACAGCAGAGGAATAGGATACATTTACTAAGAACGCTTTTATTGTAAGAAAAGCCAGGAGGTTAATTCAGTGTTCTTTGTTAAAAGCTAGGAAAAGAAAGAGAAAAGTAGAAGAGTACTCCTTTATAAACTAAAATATATATCAAAACGGTCAAATGTTTTTACCAAACATACGTTATATCCAATGCAAAAATTGTGATTATTGTGATGTTGAAATTATGAGATTGATGTACTGAACAACAGAAAGATATTTCCCATTCCTCTAATCCTCTTTCCTGACTAACTCACTTCCGCTTACCAAACTTTCTTTATTAGAAAGAAAAATGACACTAAAATTTTGTCTCTGATAAACACTTAAAAATCTTGTTCAGATTTTATCTCATCATTTGTATTTCATCCTTAACGTTATCTTACTAATAATATAAACGCGAATGATTGGATGGATTGATGTTTGAATGTATCTCCAGAACGGCTGCATGGATCTCGCTGACATTTGGCATAGATGTATAACATAGTCTGAAACAACACATAGGCTACTTGTTAAGTTTGTTTTTAATTCCGCACGGAGTGGACGGTGTCGCGAGCGACAGGTAGTCATGATATAAAAAATGTTGAGTGTCAAAACTCGCTTTAAATATCTTCGATGCTAATGTGGTCGTCTTTGTTCAACTTGTGACACGAACTACGAATATGGTGTCAATACATATTAATATAACGAGTGTAAAAGTGATTTCTTCTGTTATATTTTTGTTTATAACAAAATGTTCCGGGTTAACCGGTAAGTCATAATTTAAATACATTTTTTTTAAATATAAAAGTTGTATAATTAATACGAAATGACGATTAAGATTATGTGTCAAATGTGGTTTGGAACTTTTGCAAATAGTGATTGAAACGACTCGAGATCAAGATAATTTTTTAGGCCTTATGTTTTTTGAATGCAACTTAACATAATTAAAATATTAACTAATCGTAATTTTCTTAAAACATAAACAAGCGGCTAATATTTCAACTTATTAGAGTTTTCAATTTTACCAAAAACAAATCAATTTTATAGCTTAAGTAATTAGAACTCAAATCAGGGAAATTGAAATCGTGAAATTAACAACATTGCAAATTAAAAAAAAACCGAGCAATTTCCAATGTAATAGTAACTAGTAATCTAAACCTTATGATTATACAGATATGGAATACAATCGAATGCCGCCAATATACCATCTGGATAACTACGAGAGTTGCTTGCAACGCATCGGTGACGTCTACTGCACTACACACTTCTCCCTCGTCTCCGAAAGTCCCAGCGATCTACTGGACATGATACAAGTAAGTTGAAACTATGAAATAGACAGACATGTAATCATCCCACCCAATAAATGATACCATCCAAAAGTATTTTAAAACGCTTTTACTAGTAAAATGTGGCAAACGAACAAGCAGACACTTGTTAAAAGAAACAGGGACGAGAAGAAGACTAACTACACATTCAGAAATACTGAGATTGAATGTGCGTGGCTACAAAAGTAGAGGAAGACGATATATGGAAGAGCACATACTGTATTGAGCCTCCGTAGGGATAAGGGCAGATTGATGATGATGATGGTGACACATTTTGTATATTTCTGTTTAAAGGAATATTCCAAAGACACATCGACGCATTTTAATCACAGCAAGCTGAGGTACGGCATGTGCCTAGCGGAGAGTTGCAGCAACTATCACTCAAGCCAGGCAATCGTATCTATCCAACATCTCGAAGCATGTCTCAATAGAACATTCCGTGACAAATACAACTTACAAACTAGAGTCACTGAGTTCTCTTGCATAGAGTACAATGAGACTGTTGAAAAGAACTTTGGTGATTTTTGTATGGGTTTGATCATCTTCACACTGACGGGACTTGCAATATTTAGCACTTTCCTTGACGTATATCTAACAAACATAAATCTAGAAGGTGCGTATGATATATTTAGATAAGGTACCTATTGAGAATCTTATTTATTTTAAAATGATGATGTTATAATTTCAGATTTTCCGTTATTATTAAATTTCTCTATAAGACACAACTGGAGGCGTTTGTTCGCACCTTACGAAGTGGAGACAGATAGTAAACGACAAATATTCAAGTCATTGCACGGCATAAGGTCAGTCGAAATATAAAGATTATTAGGAAAATACGTAGCCTGAATCGTGCAGTAATTATAGGGTGCTTATTATAAAAAAAAAAATTATTAAAATCCTGCGTTATAAAGAAGTGTGTATGCATTAATATATTAGTATAGATTTATTATTATTTATTATCATTCCTCGCATACTTTTTTTACTAATTTTTCTGCGATGTACGATAAACAAGACGTTGAACTTGTTTTTAAAACAAGTTTTTTTGATATTGACATTGAAAAACGAAATGAATAATACTTTAATATTTAAACATATATTTATCATTGTTGCTTATAAATTACCAGACGATTTTTTTTTCTGTTTTGGATTTTATGATTTAACATTTGCAAAGTTCATTGTCTTTATATCATGATTTATTTTAATTTATTCTTTACAAAACTTGCTGCTTAAAATTTCTTGAATTATTTATTATAACAGTTTCGTAATGACACTCACATTCTTTAAAAAAATCATCCTGTAAATAAACCAAATGAATAACCTGTTTATTTCAGGGTGGTATTGATCAGTTTGGTGATACTAGGACACAGTAGAGTGCCTCATGTAACAACTATGAAGAATTTAAAACTTGTCGAAGAGGTACGATAACCTAAAGACACACAATCACACAAATAAAACTGTTTTAATTTATATGACCTTACCTTTTAGCCTACGAAAGGTCGAATTTTAGACTACCATTTTCTGTTTATAGCGTTAAAGGGTAAATTCAAATTAATTTAATCAAATTAAAATTGACTTCCAGAGTTACAAAGATATATTTTTGTATATATTCCTCAACGGCAACATAATAGTTCAAACGTACTTCGTTATCTCGGGAATGTTACTCGTATACAAATTGCCAACTTATACCGAAAGATATAAGATTGATTTTCATTTAATACCGAAGCTGATTTCAACGAGGTGGCTTAGGTAAGTTTATTATACTTTTAACATTGGTAGTGTCCTTAGCGGCCGCAAAGTCCTAGAGTGGCGGCCACGGATAGGTCGACGCAGCGTGGGCAGGTCTCCCGCAAGATGGATGACCTGGTCAAGGTTGCGGGAGCGTCCTGGATGCAGGTGGCACAAGACCGGTCATCGTGGCGATCTTTGGGGGAGGCCTTTGCCCAGCAGTGGGCGTCTCATGGCTGACAGGAGGAGGAAGAGTGTCCTTAGCATAAGGTGCTGCATGAATAGCTCAAGCACCCGTTGCCAATACCACGACCACGCAGAAGACACGCGTCAAGTTCAAAGTATTTCATTTAATAAATGTGTATGCTGGAAGCCAAATACTAGTCCAGTCTTCTCCATCCATACATTTCAGGGAAAGGAAACGATGGGGAAGTAGTTTTGGAGGGGTGGGAGACATACAATAGGAATATCTATTTTTCGGTTTTCCTTTCCTCTGTCAAATAAAGTAGGCAACGCATCTCCAAAACATGTTGCAGCTGATTATTCACATACTAATCTTTACAATCTTAATTAGATTTTATATGTAAACAGACGTGTTTTTATAATTAATACTTACATATGCAAATTATTTTTTTACAGACTTGTTCCACCGCACGCTTTTGTCATATTTTTTACTGCGACTTGCCTGAGACATACTAAGTCAGGACCCCTATGGGAGGTAGTTATTATTTATCCTTATAATTTATTTTCCGTTTTGGTAAAAGTATTAAAAGATGGATGGATGGATGGATGTTTGTTTGAAGGTATCTCCGGAACGGCTTAATGGATTTTGATAAAATTTGGCACACATGGAGACTATAGTCTGGAGGAACACATAGGCTACTTATTAAGAATTTTTTTAATCCCTGCGGACGGAGTTGAGGGCGACAGCTATTAACATCATAAGGGTTGGACAGAACAGTTTTTAAATTTGGAATAGAACCATAGGACACGGTCTATAATAGCACGGTTGCTAGTATGTTTAAAAAGATTAGTGTGTTATTTTTTTATTTCCAGACCGCTATTGGTGATGATATAAGAGACTGCCAGCAACGCGGTTGGTTAAGTCTTTTATATTTAAATAATTTCCTTTATGATGCTCAATGTATACCACATACATGGTAATGTAATCTTACTTCTTACTATTTTACTAATACTATAAATGTGAATGTTTATATGAATGAATGGATGGATGTATGTTTGAAGATATCTCTAGAACTGCTTAACGGATCACTATGAAATTTGGCATACATATAGAACATAATCTTGGAGAACATATAGGCTACTAATTATGTTTTTTTTTTAATTCCGCGCAGATGGAGTCGCAGGCGACAGCTAGTTGATTAAAAAAATGACCTATAATGCGTTTAACTTTTAATGACTTATACTTTAATATGACAGGAAGAATTTAGAACGAATTTTTCGCGCACATTAAAAAGTGATGTTATAAATAAGTCGATTATAACGCTCCCTAGTCCAGGATCTTTATATAATTGTTTAAACTATATATTATTGTACAATATCATATTTAAATTTCTAATTATTTCAGGCATTTAGCAGCAGATATGCAACTTTACTGTTTCGGTGTTGTTTTCTATTTGGTGGCAAAAAATAAAAATAACAGAAACATTTTGCTAGTTTTAACATTATTAGTAGGACTACTAATTCCAGGAATGATAATATATATAAGAAATTTAAATCCATTGATAATCCTCTCTCCTACGTAAGTAACTTTTATAAGTACGAAGGATAAAACTTTATAAGTTATGTTACCGACAGATCGTGATTGTCGTCTGTTCGTAATTTATCTAGATACGCATTACGTATTTTTTAGTTTAATGCGAATGTCAAGTCAATCAATATTTTTTGACTGACGTGTTCAAAAGAACAAAAGTCCCTAAAAAAAAAATAAAGAGAAAAAAATTTTTTAAATGTAAATTATTTTTAAGTTAATTACGTAATAACTTAAGACTGAATGTTCCATAAGGGATTATATAACTAAAACGACTTTGTATCATATTAAATAGATTTAACAATTTTAACGGTAGAAAAACTGTATTGCTTGCACCTTGACTTGTTTTGTTTTGATAAAGTTTTGTATATTTCAACAGAACTATAAGCAATTTCTTCGGAACAGATCCGACTTTTAACGAAATGTATAGACACGCTTATACAAATGTGCCAAGTTATGCTATAGGGTTGGCTCTCGGATACTTAATATATGATTTGCAAAGAAGCGATTTTCAAATAGAAAAATATAAGGTAAGCTGCTACAGCCCTTTGTGGACCTTTGGTTGATCCAGCAACTTTTTCCATCTCTGTCTCTGGCCACAGACTTCAAATTTGTATTTATGTTTAGGTTATGATTATGTACTCAATAGATATTTTATTTTAGAAATACCGCTACGTGTACTGGGCGTTGTTACCTGCGTGTTTTGTGCCTATATTGCTAGGCAGCACGTTCTACGGCCCGCGGCGACACCCTGTATATCTGCATTTACTTTATGCCATCGTATCTAAGCCATACTTTGGTTTGCTGGTTGCTATTATTATCTTTGGATTTGTGTTTAAATATGAAAGTAAGTAATAATATAATTTATATTATTAAAAGTTGTTGTGTGATGCGATGTTTCTTTAATACGAGTATTATATATGTATTCACAGATATATACCGCGGCTTCTTTGAGTGGTCTAGTTGGAGAGTGCTGAGTCGCCTCTCGTACTGCGCGTTCCTTGTTCACTTCCTGATCGTCAGACTGTACACCGCCAGCCATACCCAGCTTACTCATATTACTTTCTACACTAATGTAAGTCATATGCTCATCACATTGTCAGCCATTGATTGGAATGCATTGATTAAGGTGTGTTTTGTTTTATCTGCAGTTGTTAATGGTGACGGGGTTTATCATCAGCAGCTTGGCAGTCGCGCTGCCGCTTTGGTTGCTAGTCGAGGCGCCATCTACCGGTCTCCTGCAGTACTACATGACAAAGAGAAACATTAACAATAATCTAAAAGAGACATTGAAGTCTGAAAAGTCTAAAAATATTTAGATTCATTAATTATTTATAAGCACTTGACTTGCAATCTGCAGGTCCTGGGTTCGAATCCCGCCATGTACCAATGTATTTTTCCATTTCTGATTTACATATGTACATTTATCCGACGTACTTACGGTGAAAGAAAATATTGTGATGCAACCTGCACATATCTGAGAAGAAATTCAAATATATGTGTGAAGTCAACCAACCCGCATTTGGCCAGCTTGGTTGACTATGGCCTAATCACCCTAACTTAGGGTAGGCTCCGAGCCCCTCGGTGGGGACGTATAGTGAGCTGATGATGATGAATTATTTCTTAATACTGTTAGTTCAATTTTTTTATCTATATTGTATTACTATTAGTTGTTGTTATTTCTAAATAAATTTTATAATAGTGTGAATATTTATGAATATAAAAAAGTTTATATTGCAACTATTATAATATAATAACAATTGGAAATCTCTTGATTATTAATAAACTGTTAATGTGAAATAATGTTCAAAATAATTTCAGATCACAAAATTTTCATTGAATCGCAACAATAGTTCAATTAATTATCACAATTGTTCAATACATAGAGATAATTTTAGTTACGATTGTGACCAATTTTGCTCTGTTGAATTCATGATGTCAATTGGTGTTCATTATAGAGCTATAGAAATGAATCGCCTTTTTTTACGTCATCTCGGCTTATAAATTGCAGATAAGAAGTTTAATTTTACATGATACTAGCAGTCGACTGCGACTGCGTCCGCGCGAAGTTACAAAAAAATTGTAGCCTATGTGTCATTCCAGACTATGTTTTATATCTACGCCAAATTTCATGAACATCAGTTCAGCCGTTCTGGACATACCTTCAAACAAACTATTAGTAAGATTTTCTCTCTGATGATTAATTCACTCTCTTCCTTAAAAGACTTCAAAAAGGAGGAGGTCCTCATTTTGTGTATTTTTTTATTTGTCGATAACTCCGCCCTTAGTCGTCCGATTTTTATTCTTTTTAAGTTTTCTCATCTATTGTGATATTTATGTTAAAATGTAAGAACACTCACGTATCGAGTGATTGATAACATCCTAAAACTTTGCCGCCATCATTACCGTCAAAACAATCGAATGAAAAAGTTTAATGAATAAAATTTTACGAACAAACTTTTATATTTCAGTTAAGCTTCGAAAATTCAAGAATTTCAATATAATTTTCATCGAGAATTGAATCGTTAAACGTTTAATAGTTGTTCAAGTTTGATTTCAGTTTCAAACTGTTTGATAACAAAGTGCTTCGAGAAATCAATGGTTTAATAACTCAGTGGTAAAACGACAACCCTACAATCGATCGTGTTTCGGTTCAATACCATGTTATCGATTTGATGCGTATTGATAGTAAATATATTTGATTAGGCGACAAACAAGCAGGCAATCTAGTTTTGTGACACCTATTCATATAAATCTGCAACAATTTGATATGTTGATGTATTTATAGATGCATTGCCGAGCTCACCAAACATCTTTACTGAGGAGCTCGGAGCCTACCCTAAGTTAGAGGTGACTGGGCCAAAGTCAACCACGCTGGCCAAGTGCGGGTTGACTTCACACATATCTTTGAATTTCTTCGCAGATAAATGCAGTTTGCATCACGATGTTTTACCGTAAAACGTCAGATAAATGTGAATCTAAAATCGAAAAACACATTGGTACATGGCGGGATTCGAACCCAGGACCTGCAGATTACAAATCATGTACTAACCTTCATTGGCCAGAGGAATGAACCGAAAAAAGAAATTTCTCTTACCTCTTCATGTTCTCTGTCGGGTCCATGTCCCTTTCCCATCCTATTCTTATTTATAGACTAGTATAAATTACAAATTCCGTGATGCTTTCGATTTTGTTTCATTTGAAAGCGTTATTATCTTGTTCGCAAGATTTATACGGTTATCCGTACACATTATAATTTATAATTAGATAATCCACTTTAACTGAACTCAACTGACCCGTACTCTGCCAGCGGAGAATATTTAATGAAGCAAAATTAAAGGCCAGATAACATCTTATTATTTAGAAACGGTAATATTTTATTTAAAAAAAAAATTATAAAACCAAACATATTCATTTAAGAAGATCAATTACGTAAATACATGTACACTTAGCGATAAAAAGTAGGTCAATAAACTAAACTACAATAACAAAATTGATTTAAGTAAAATGTCTAAGTAATTCATACACACAACATAAATCTTGAAACTAATATCATATTTCTGCGTCGCTAGTATAGTGTTGACGTCATTTTGTAAGTCGCGGCGACATTTCTCACAACAAGTTTGCAAACGATTGGTTTTGGCGACTAAAGAACAAAATGAATCTACCTTTAATATTGGATAGTTTAAGTCGCTTAACGACTACAGCATAGATATCGAATTACTTATTACCTGTGTACAATGGGCCTTAGAACTGGTTAATTTATACAGTGATTCGAGAACTCTCCACCAAAATGTTGTCCAGTAGTTGCCTTTGCTACGTCCATATACGAGTAAACTGAAATCCGATTTTCAGTAACTTTAAGTTGTAACTTTAACTGCAAATATTCGGTTCAAGTTATTTGATCTTTGACTAAATAAAGGAGTAAACATTCACAAACATAAATGCTAATATTACTTACTAGCCGTGCTCGCGACTTCGTCCGCGTGAAATACTGTCTTAGATCTGTACATTGCAACATTACTTTATTTTTCCTATATGAAATATGTTTTTCTAAAATAAACGTAGACTTACACCTTATTACTTCAGCTACCTACCCATAAAAGTCCTGTCAAAATTAGTAGAGCCTTTTCAGAGATTAGCTGGAGACAGATAGACAGACAAAAATTAAAAAAAAATGTTATTTTGGTGTACGTGCCGTATATATATTCATATACATGTAGTGAAAAACGGTTATTTCAATATTAAAAACAGACACACCAATTTTATTTATAGGTATAGATGTATAGATAAGGCTGTGAAAACAGTAAGTAAGCAGTAGGAGCGGTAGAGCCCGCAACAACATCCGTTTCACAAATAGGCTCGACCGTTGATATACGACCATAGAGATGACAGGTATGAAGTAGGAAAAATACTACGCTTTGTCTAAAATCTTGTCTTGTCTTGTCTTGTCAAGTCAAGTCAAGTCAAGTCAAGTCAAGTCAAGTCAAGTCAAGTCAAGTCAAGTCAAGTC